CTACAGGACTGAGGATGTTGCTCATATTCACTGCCACACATGACATTGAGGATGTAGCTCATATTCACTACCACACAGGATAGTGAGGATGCTTCTTATATTCATTGGCACGTTCATTCGATCATACATAGGACAACAATTCCCAATTACAGATTTATATATATGTATATATATTTTAAATAGGAAGGAAGACATTATATAACTAGGATCTTATATAATGTATCTTTCACGAGGCTACAGCCTACTACATCAGACATTATATACCTTTTAATTTATAACATTTTAAATCCCACTTGTGGTGCTGTTTTGGTTGTGGTGTTAAAGAATTACCAGAAAATATGTGAAAAACATTCCGAGAAGGATGACAAAACTAATCCTTAGCGTCAGGAATCTTCCATTGCAAATACAGATTAAAACTATTGAGGTTACACTTGAAAGGCATATATATATATAGAGAGAGGAAAAGTAGAGTGGAAATGTATAAATAGATGAAAGACATTAACGAGAACTGTGTAAATTGGGTAAAGAAATTTATTTTAATTGACATTTAAATTTACTAGGAATACATAAAATTGCCAAAAATTGGTTTAGCCATAGCAGCTGATTGGAACAGTACGTCAAGTAGCGTCTTTGAGGCGATTACGTTACAAAATTGAAAAATTTGTAACATAAAGTGGAAATGGCTGGGTATGAACTGAACCAGCCGCGCGTAAGCCTATTGCAACGCTCCTGTGATCCTAATGAAAATTGGGGAACTCGTAGCAACAAACGCCCCGTTGCAAAAGAAGGTGGGGGTTAAGTATCTGAAGTTTGACCTTTGCAAACACAAGTAGTTTAGCAGCCCGTCTTTTCGAGTTGCCACGACGTCACTAATGGACTAAATTGCCCGAACCTAACCAACTAAGTAACTACGTATAGAAAACGTGACAGCCCGTCAATTTTGCGAACCGCTTTGATTTATAATACATCATATTTTGATGCTGGGGATTTATTAAGTGAAAATATGTTGTATTATTCAAGAGGACGGGTGGAATGAGAACACAGACCCCAGATTTAGCTACAAAAAGCTCTTGAGTTAAATTTTAATTAATCACACAAATATACACATGTACCTACATTGTCCTGAATGCATACCACACAGAAATACTCATTCATACATATCATACTGAACACGTATATATAGCTACTTACACAAATATATATAATCATAGACACGGTGACATATATAATGCTCGAGGCGCTGTATTTAATGATTGGCTATATAAAATAAACCTACTGTATATACTACTAAACGATCACTGTAATAGGCTACTTTTGTGCATCTTGAAAATTAAATATTATTGTTGAGCCAGGCGTCGCCTAATAGTTTTGAATTGACTTTAAACTTGATGTTTCTGTACCTTGTCGTCAGCACTTGGCATTGTTCAACCGGGTTGCTTAATAGTTGCAAATAATGCTGTCATATCAAGCTTTGCATGTGGAAGGGAGTGAATATTGTTACGGATGTGTGTGGGTTGCCGCCTCGCGGGCCACGTAAGCCTGGGTTGGAGGTATGGGGGAGTATGCGTTAATCTGTCTGTTTAATTGTTTACTGGTTGAACAACCTATCCTCAGGCTAGGCTCGTTAAAACAGCAGCCGACCCCCAAAGTCGCTTTCACTAATTTTAATATACTGCGTATTCAAAATTATGTCAAATATACAATAATGTTATTGTACTAGAATGTGATGAATAGTTAGATTAGGTAGTTAGGTTCTGTCGGCAATTATTTGTTTTAGCAGAACGTTGATGAATCATTTAATAACCCGTCCTCAGACCAGGAGCCAGATTCACGAAACAGTTACGGGAGTACTTACGAACGCGTACATCTTTCCTCAATCTTTGACGGCTTTGGTTACATTTATTAAAAAGTTTACAAACATAAAAACTTCTCAATCAACTGCTGTTATTGTTATAAACAGCCTCCTGGTGCTTCGGAGCTCATTAACTGTTTAATAATTGTAAACAAAGCCGCCAAAGATTCCGGAAGTGTTCGAACATCATCAGTTGTGAGTCGTGCGTAAACCGTTTTTCATTCGTAAACAGGGGGGTTTGGCGGGTGCATGGAATGGACTTTGTGTCTTTGTTTAGAAGACGGGTCGTTCAGAGAGGTGCGATTCGATCAGAGGACTTGAACGAAACATTCTTACAGAAAAGTACATAAGCCATCAGTTGTGAGACGTGTGTAAATTGTTTAATTTATAAACAGTGAGGTTTGGTGCCCGGATTAACGAGCATTTGGCATTTGTGGACGAAGACGGGCTGGGTGTACAATCGCAGCACCGCTCTGTTGGGTTCGAACCGTTGACTGAGGTCTTGGATCACCAGACGTGACTCTTTCCAAAGGTTACATCTGGCCGGGAGCGTCAACAGTTCGGAGAGCGTCCTAGGACTTACCTGCGAGAAGGATATTAGCTAGCCGGGGGAAAAGACGCTGTCAGATTGGTTTAGAGCTCTTTATTATTATTATTGTTATTATTATTATTTACTACCACTGACGTGGCCACACATTTACAATGCTGCATATATATACATTTTCTTCTGTCCTCCATAGACAGGGTTAGAGATCTGTTAAACATAGTGTTTAACAGTGATTTATTGGACAATCAGCCACAGAACTGTGAGATTTCTTTTTAGGCTGCACCAAAAATTTATTTTTTGTTTTAATTTATAGAAGTTTTATGGACTATATACTGTGAAAAGTGTGTAATGGTTTATTAGTACATTCGGTCGTTGCTTTACGTACATAGATATAATTAATTTATTGACACTGATAAATTATTTCGCAGCTTTTATCTTCATTCATATAACTACATTATTTTACTCCAGTAGGTAAGTGAGCTATTTGGCACATATCCTTGAGGTTACCTTGAGGTGTTTCCGGGGCTTAGCGTCCCCGGGGCCCGGTCGTCGACCAGGCCTCCTGGTTGCTGGACTGATCAACCAGGCTGTCGGACGCGGCTGCTCGCAGCCTGACGTATGGGTCACAGCCTGGTTGAGGGTTGATCCTGAGTCATTATTGCAAAATTTTGCAACAAATCGACATTGTAGACGAAGGATATATGACCGCTGCAAGTGGAAGGTCAGTGATGATCACAGCAAGAGTCAAAGATCGAGGCTGCAATGCGGTTGTCAGAGACCACAAGGTTGCATAAGACGAGTCTGAGGAGTGCGCCTTATCAATAGATATCGTCGGGCAGTGCGCCATAGTATGCTGTGACCCACCGTTCAGTGCGTCACAGTATGCTGTGACCCACCGTTCAGTGCGTCACAGTATGCTGTGACCCACCGTTCAGTGCGTCACAGTATGCTGTGACCCACCGTTCAGTGCGTCACAGTATGCTGTGACCCATCGTTCAGTGCGTCATAGTATGCTGTGACCCACCGTTCAGTGCGTCATAGTATGCTGTGACCCACCGTTCAGTGCGTCACAGTATGCTGTGACCCACCGTTCAGTGCGTCATAGTATGCTGTGACCCACCGTTCAGTGCGTCATAGTATGCTGTGACCCACCGTTCAGTGCGTCATAGTATGCTGTGACCCACCGTTCAGTGCGTCATAGTATGCTGTGATCCACCGTTCAGTGCGTCATAGTATGCTGTGACCCACCGTTCAGTGCGTCATAGTATGCTGTGACCCACCGTTCAGTGCGTCACAGTATGCTGTGACCCATCGTTCAGTGCGTCATAGTATGCTGTGACCCACCGTTCAGTGCGTCATAGTATGCTGTGACCCACCGTTCAGTGCGTCATAGTATGCTGTGACCCACCGTTCAGTGCGTCATAGTATGCTGTGACCCACCGTTCAGTGCGTCACAGTATGCTGTGACCCACCGTTCAGTGCGTCACAGTATGCCATGACCCACCGTTCAGTGCATCATAGTATGCCGTGAACCACCGTTCAGTGCGTCATAGTATGCTGTGAACCACCGTTCAGTGCGTCATAGTATGCCGTGAACCACCGTTCAGTGCAGTATGCTGTGACCCACCGTTCAGTGCGTCACAGTATGCTGTGACCCACCGTTCAGTGCGTCACAGTATGCTGTGACCCCACCATTCAGTGCGTCATAGTATGCTGTGACCCACCATTCAGTGCGTCATAGTATACCGTGACCCACCGTTCAATGCTGCATAGCCTAGTCTTCCTGAATGAATTTTGCATTACATAGCGCACGTCATGGCTCACAAGACGTGGGTGGAGGCGGGGCACGACGCCAGCTGACCTTTGAATACAACGTTGGCTTTACAAGCGTCAGAATGACCTTCCAAATTGTGTAATAAGGTGGTTTGCTGCGTTTACAACGGCTCACGTCTCATTTCAAAATTTAAAACACCCTAAAAATCCGTTAACACGTAACCGAAAGGATACGTTGCAGACAATCAAATATTCGTTCTAATAAGACATAAACCCTTCTCAACGACTTACCAAAAGGAAATAATTCCGCATGAAAAGCCAGTAAATCACGAAGAACTAACACAAATTCACTTTTATTTAATTAACACATTAACTTAACATCCTTCTTGTCCGAAGTCTTGCCACTAGCGCTATGCGTGCTAGTGGCTTTACAAGATTGTAAAATCAACTTAATTTCTATAGTCTCCGTTAACACCCCCTAATGTACCTTCTTGTATATAAATAAATAAATAGCAAATATTTAGCAATGTGATTTCGGGCATTGGGGAAGTGGGGGCGGGTGGGAGGACTCTGTTAACACCCCCAATGTACCTTCTTGTTAATAAATAAATAAATAAATGGCAAATATTTAGCAATGTGATTTTGGGCATTGGGGAAGTGGGGGCGGGTGGAAGGACTCTGTTAACACTCCCAATGTACCTTCTTGTTTATAAATAAATAAATGGCATATATTTAACAATGTGATTTTGGGCATTGGGGGAAGTGGGGGCGGGGTGGGAGGAGCCCCGGGTGTTGCCGGAGCGAGGCCGGGAAGAGTCAGTCAGTGGTCGTCGCGACTGTGTAGTGAGTGGTGGTGTGGCCGCTCCGTCTCCTGGCTCCTCTCCACGCTTCATCCTCTCCCCCCCGCCCTCGTCCCTCTTACCCGCTCCAACGCGTATGCTAACCCTGGAATATATAGATATATATATGTACGTGGGCACCGTGTCGTGTGTTGTGACTCGTGGATTGAGGCGTCGGTGATGAAATGATAGTGCTGCAGGATGTGATCGTTTTGTGGATGGTATTTTTTTTACTAGCCAGTGAGGCTGGGAAGGTTTTATCAGTGAAACTCTGGTGTACTTGAAAGTTTGCATTGGATACTGTGTTCACCCTCAGGGGGAAAATTTTCTAACAGTTTTGATTTTTATATCATTTTTTTTATATCGAAATTTAAAACCCCCTCTCAAAAAAAAATAAGTATTCAAACAAGTGAGAATAACAACATTAAAAGGCTAATTGTATATATCCCCTTGGCCGGGGGGGATGAAATGCCCCATCCGGGTGTTGTAAGTGCCTGAGAAGTCTTGGAAGAGAGAGAGATACATATATCGGTGAGGCCCAGCATGGATACCAAGCAGCGAGGAGCAGTGTGTGTGGTGGTGTTGACCGCCTACCTCCTTCACGCTACTCACAGTCGAGGTAAGTCCTGCCTCCTCATTCTCCCTGCCTCCTCATTCTTCCTGCCTCATCATTCTCCCTGCCTTATCAACCCCTGCCTCGTCAACCCCTGCCTCGTCAACCCCTGCCTCGTCAACCCCTGCCTCATCATCTCCTGCCTCGTCAACCCCTGCTTCGTCAACCCCTGCCTCGTCAACCCCTGCCTCGTCAACCCCTGCCTCATCAACCCCTGCCTCATCAACCCTTGCCTCATCAACCCCTGCCTCATCAACTCCTGCCTTCTAACCCCATGACTCCTCACAACATGCCTCACCAACCCTCCCTAATCTGCCAAGGTGCTCCAGGCTTCTTCGTAGGAATTATAGATATGTTGGTTGAATTATCAACAAAGAATTATCTGTTGGGAATTTTTGTCTATATAGGTGGTCGATATATAATGTGACTAGCAGGCTGTCATTACGAGTAATTTTGTTTGGCATAATTAAACCAATCCAAATACCTTGCTTGCTTGTCATTCAAGCATATCAGATTTAGGTTAATTATATCCCACCCAGTAAACCCTTTTTAGTCTATTAGTCGTCAAAGTAAAATGTCACACCTGACGATCTAAATATGAGTTAAAAAAAAAACTTTTTACAAAGTACGTTTTTGAGAGTTAATTTTGGGCGCGTAAATGACGTCGAAGTTTCTCATGATTTAGGTCTTAATAATGACATTGACAGGTGATAATTCACTGCCAGCTTGCAAGGCCAGTAATTAAAATTACCAATCACTTTAGCATGAATGTAATTATAACCTCGATGCTAATCTTGATGGGAAAACCTCGAAGCATATATATATATATATATATATATATATATATATATATATATATATATATATATATATATATATATATAATAATTATAGCACTTTCATAGATTTAAGGAACTCTTATGATATTACAAATACGAAAGATGAAAAACAAGATGATTAATGTCAACGAAGTCAGATTCTCAGAATTTTCAAGAGACATTTGATGTATAGATACATGGAACACTTAGGGAGAGCAAACACTTCCAGACATTCAAATCAAATGGATAAATAACTAAGTGGAACAATACAATTTCGACAGTAAGGTACAAGTTTCTATTCCATAAAATGTCCAAGAGTTCATAAAATATCTATCTTAAAAATGTAATAATTATGCATAGGGAAACAGGCATCCAAATTGGCTAGTGTCAGTAATTGTTCCAGTTTTCGTGCTGTGTTGATATTGCAATTCATCATAATTTAGTATAATATTGCCGGATAATAGGTATAATTAAGACGACTTTTTGCGGAGAGAATAGGGGTGATAGAGTTATAATATTTCAACCCATCCTCCTAAAATTAAAGTACTTATAGTAACTAGAGTATATTTTTAGGTGAAAGTAACAGTATGCAGTGATGGACTACCAGCAAGTTAACTTTTTGTACTATTGAATTTCGACAAACCAGATTTTTTTTAATGGCAACATAAGACTTTATAAAACCTCTGCTTCTAATCCTATACTTAATACATGCTATCCTAAGCCGTACTTTATAATATATCTGCTATACTATACTAGGAATATTTGTTTGGTTTTGAACAATTTTTTCTGGACTATAAAATTAATAGTACATCAAGTGGCTTACGGGTAGTTCATCACTACGTAATGGTAGTTTCGACCAAATATAGTTACTATAAATATTACCATTTCAGGAAGATGGGTTGGAATATTTCTATCTTTTTTTATGATTACTTTTGATAATGCGGCATAATTGCTTAATTTAAATCAGATGAACCTGATCATCTTGTCCTGCCTCCTAATTGTTATATGGGCTATCTTCTGGAATGGTCATGATATTAGCTATCATACATTGCTGTAAGAAGACTGACTTCCGCAATTTAAAGCTATCTTGTAAAGACTATGCAAGCAGTATCTAATACTTTCTTTTATACTTTGAAATGCAATTTTTGTTAGTCTCATACGCTTTTGAGGCTACATCATATTTATTAAATGAAGGGTTGTAATGGCGATCCTGGTATTTTTGATTAAACTACAATTGTTTAAAACTATTGCAAATAACTCAAAACTGAGTTTGTGTGGTTAATAAAGATGCTTCATTACATAAAAATGGGTTAAAAAAAATATATATGGGTATATGATTGTCATCGTGAAGTTTGATATTTAATTGAAAAATTTATGAATATTAAACACCAATGAAATGTGTCTTTGTGAATGTATTTACAGAGGTCTACGTCTATATATGAAATATGATGCAGTAGTAGTAATGAAACAAATAAAATTTGGCCCTGGGTTTGCTTGTGCTAAATGTTTATTCGGTTTATTAGGCTTGTTTATTAGGTTTATTATCGTAAGCGTTTTGCTTTTCAAGTAAATATGAGGCTTTATCAACACACAAAAACACTATGTATTGTAAGTTTGAAATCACTTTGATCAGGATATCGTAGTTATTTTGTTTAATAATTACATTGTTTGAATTATTAGCATTACATTATTAGTAATTAGGAATAACAATGTTAATAATATAAACAGTGAAGTGCTTGTTATAAACCTGGCAAGAGGTTTTGGCAAGGAAGTCTTTCGGTTTTCCCCTAGAATGCCTGAATGGTGAGTCTGTGCATGGAGGCTGGGCATCATGAGTTATGACTCCATTAGCCAAGTAACTCCAAATGGTAGCTTAGTGTGCTGGAAATATCTCTGCTCTTCTAAACGTTATTTTTGTATACTCTTGTAAAGATGTATAAACGACTGTATATTCACTTTTGTTCTTTTTTGGAAAATAACACCATACCACAACAAATTCAAGCAACGATGTCATTGATCGACAAACAAAAAAAAACTTGATTGCATAAGGGTTCAATATCTGTTTTTGCACAAGGTGCATGTTTTACATACGCCAAAAGTGTCGTCAAAATATATTAAATAGAAGGCGTATTTTTTCCAAACAATGTGAATAGGCCATTTAGTTTTTTTTACATTGAAGCACACACCTCCAAATGAATAGTTGCTCGCTGCGTATTTTATCTGAAGTTGGCACCAGATTTGTTTTTATTCATTGCGTAGGTTCCAGGTTTGCTGGAAATAGAACATTTGTGCATTGCGTAGTTTCTAATTTAGCTTTTGTATTATTGTACTGCGATTGTGAGCCTTTAATAATTTTGTTGCACTGTAGTCGTATAATATATTTCTTTGAAGCAACAAGATAACTTGAGCATTTAACTACTTACATGCATTAATCTATATGTAACTTTCAAATTTGGATTTATTTGACATTAAATACAATAAAATTATTAAATCTGGCTGTTGCAAAATAAAGTATAATAAGGACTAATATTTAATAGAGCACAACAAAAGACAAAAGGAAGGGAGTGGTAGGAGAAAAGCACACAGAAACTGTATAAGAGGGGACCTAAACATTCCCTATAATGCGTTATGTGTGGTTTCCTCCGAGGCTAAGGGTCCCATTCTTCCAGTCAGAGGTTATACTCCCTATTAAAAAAAAAGACTAATTATATTTTTATATTTCCATTCATACAAGTATACCCCATAAAGCGAAAATATGTTGGGACTATTGTCCTAATGCAAAAAAAATGATGTTAATTGCCGAGAGTTAACATCACACTGGGGCCACAGTCGCGTTCAGACGCAAGCCTCCGAATTAAACTGAGACACGTCATGTTGGCTGTGTTGAGTCTGTCCGCGTTTGGTGTTCAGAGAATATAGGTATCTTTCGTTTTCTCTTTTGGTGCTTAATTTTCTTTCTTCTTCCCTCCCCTTTTTTTATCCTCCCATTTCTTTCTGGCTTCGGCGTCAGTTTTTTGTTTTTATCTCATTCCCGTTTTTTTTTCCTAATTCGCTATCTTGCCTCTTCCCTATTTCAGTACTCGGTACTGTATCTTATTTTCGGTTTATGTTTCACAAATTCTTCTTTTTCAATCGGTCACAACAATCAATAGAAAACCACATTTCATACAGAAGCGTTTTGCCTGCAAACGAGTAGTAGGCTAACGTTCCCAGCACCATTGTTATATGAACGTGGAGCGCCTCCTTAAACGTTTTTGTAAGCGTATGTTGCGACCACGTTCTTTCGTCTGTTGGTGGGCTGGTGGCTGGGTATATTTACTTTAAGGCGGCAGAGCGCGAATTCGACTTGTCAATTGGTTGTTTTGTTTCCAGCTTCTCTTTACATTGGAAGTTTTTTTCTTCACATTAGGCGAGTCGGCTCGTTCCCTGCAGAGGTGTTTGGTGTGTGGTCATGGCAAATATTTTTTATTAAATGACTTGATTAGGTCTATGTTGTGTTTTTTGTTTGTATATTTTATAGTAGCATCCGGTTAGACGATGCCAATGCATTTTTTTTGACATAGTGAGGGGAATGAGGGGGGGGGGGATGTCCTGAAAACCTTACAAATTCCATTTTTTTCCCTCGGTTATCCGTATTTACTCTTGTATCTTAATAGGTGGGGTACCCGGCGGTGCCCGGGGTGACCCAGACTTTCTCTTTCTCTTTATCTCGTCTGTGTCTTCCTAACGCGGCTCGCGTGTGGAGGATTGACATGGGAGGCAGCAGGTGGGCTGGTGTTGGGGAATGTGGGAGTATGATGTCGTGAGTACCTATATCAGGCTAATTACAGGCAAGGTATGATAGATTTTAATTATGTAGGCATCGGTGAATAATGTTATACTAAGAAAAAACTGAAATATAAATTAAAAATAATCCTGTGTCTAGTTATTATATTATGATATTCAAAAAATCGTCGTGGGTTCCCATTGGTACTGTGTTACGTCGCACTCTTTTTCACTTCAGCCAACTGCGAATTGTCAATGTTGGGCATGTACCCCACAGGAATCAGGGTGTAAAGTTGTGCGAGGCTAGCCCCATACGTCTGGCCTCCAACCTCGAATATAGACATATTCTAATTTATAGACGTAAGTTTGAGTGTCGAATTGTGGCTCTTCATTGCACAATTTTTTTAACCTATCCTTTTGCGC